GTCATGACCTTGACCCAAGGTCATTTGGGGAAGTTCAAGGTCACTGGAAGAGAAATTTTATAATTCGTGTTTGATACATATCTTTATTATACAAAAACTTACTTCTGAAAAACCCAGCGGGGGGTATTTTGTCCCGATTGGACAGTTCTAGTTAAATGAGCATTTAGCTCAGTTTTTAAGATACCATTCAAGATAGTGTTATCAAACTTCATATGCTGATACGTACTGATGAGAGCTATTCAACTGCATCAACATTTGACCTTGACCTTTCCTTTGACCTTTATCTCACTTCATAAATTAGTGTCAAACTTCATATGCTGATACATACTGATGTAAGCAATTCATTTGCATCAACATTTTTGACCTTGACCTTTCATTTGACTTTGACCTCACTTTTATCAAATTGTGATTAAGTCAGTTTTAAAGAAACCATTCAATTTTTTCAACTTCATATGCTGATACATACTGGTGAGAGCTTTTCAACTGCATCAACATTTTTTTTTACCTTGACCTTACCTTTGACCTTGACCTCACTTTTCTTAAATTAGTGTTAAACTTCATATGCTGATACATACTGATGTAAGCAATTCAACTGCATCACAATTCGAGATATTCTGAAATTTCATACACAGATTCGAATTTTCATGTTGCATTACTGATATAACCTCTGCGGGGCGTTCATGTCCTATGGACATATTTCTACTTTTTTGGCAAGCTTATTTAGAGTTGTCAAATTTTGAAGTCACAACCCTTTCAGACATTTGGTATGACAAAGTCAAATGTTCAGAAAATGTTCAGAAAATTTGTCAGACCAGATATAACATTGTCTCAAGCAGGGGTCTGTAGTTGCTTAAACACATTAAGTGTCATAATTAAGGAATTTAACCTATGGTATACAATATAACCCAACTTGGGACAGTTTATGCTGATTTTTTAAAATTGTTATTTGGACCACTTTTCTTACCAACTTTTGTTCAAGATAAATTTTTACCAGCCTTATAGATTGGGTTTTCTGATAGTTTTTGACATCTTGGTGCTTATCTTTATTTTATTTGGGGGACTTTCTTGACAGTATTTGCGAAGTTTATTAAGTTTCTTATTTCAGACAATACTGTATTTTATACCTCTCTGTGTAATTTGTTAGACCATTAGGAAACCCTGTGTTATTGTGATCTGTTTGAAAGGATTGAAGAGTCACTCACTTCAAATCACTTTGTCAAATAGTTGTAATCTTGTTAAAAGCATGATTGCAAAGAAAAAAATTCTCATTATTTTATAATGAAAAGAAGCAAAAAATCTCTAAAATTTCAGACTTTCAACTTTCATTAAGGCATTGAATTCTAATTATAAAAGAAATGTGCCAATTATCTTGAAACTTGGCAGAGAGTGCTGGACTTCAAAGTCATATGATAATGAAGCTGGTATCAGATGTACTCATTCCCCGAGTAAAATTATCACAGAGTTACAAAGAAAGGCCTGTTGTCAGAAATTATCAAGGGGAAATAACCAGAGAGCACTCACATTAAAGGGACTTAACTCTTGTTTAAAAAGGGATTTGATCACTTTTTTGTTGCTTTTGCAGGAAAGAAAAGTCCTTGAAGTGCAGGTTGGCTTAGAATATCAGCACTTTGGGTTGGTTTATGATACTTGTCAAGAACTGCAAAGGAAATGTCTTCAGTTAATGAGTATTTTATTGTTTGAGTTCAGCTATGTACTTTTAATCAAGCATGATTGGAATTTTTTTTTTCATTGATATTGAATCACAATAAAGTAAAAAAAAAAAAAAAAAAGAATTGTGAAACTCTATTAGATTGAATTCACACTAGGGATTTAGCTAGGGCATGAAGAGCTTATATAAAAGCCTTGACAAAGTCCCAAATCTTCCAATTTTTCTATTTGTTTGTTTTTAAAACAAATCTTTTGAATTCACTAGAGTTTTATGGCACAAAGATCTTACATGTTCCTTGTTGAAGTCCCTGCTGCCAATTTATCTGTTTGTCTGTCTGTAAACAATCTTTTTGATAGGTCAAATTATAATATAGGCTTTCTTGCCCGACCTTCCATCCAACCATCACAGTGTTAGCATTGAATGTCTCTTAACGAAAGGATCAAGTACGTAGAGCATAACATATGAGAATCTCCCAAGAAATAGTGCCATAAGGAATTGGTCTGTAGACAATACAAGGCATCAAGCAGACAACAACAGAGCCTCTGGTAGTAGGAAAAAAGCCCTTTTGACAAAAAATTAATTAACTGACCTACTTGTTGACAAGGCAGCACTGTAATTACTTGGCCTACAGTACCCTTTTCATACTCAATGCAGCCTTAGTCCACGGGAATGATAACCCCTTCTGGAGGAACAGATAATATTTCACTTTTAATCAATGCATGCCATCTTTTTTTTTTCTGCCGAGGTGTAATTAATTAAGTTCACTAATGAATGTGTGTGATTAGATCTATATACAATCTGAAGCCCGTACGATATAAGTAACTATAGAGGACTTCTATGACTTCCGTCAGAGTATTATGATTATAATGTCTGCAGGTGAGGTTTTCATTCATAGAGTGTTAATTTAAAACTATACCCTAAAGACAAGTAATATTGACTTGTGGGTCATTTATTTCTCTGATTCAGCATGCCTCTCTCTCTGCTTTATCACTCCTCTCTCTCTCAGATCTTTCTCCTCTCCCCCCCCCCCCCACCCCCCTCTCCCCCTCTCTCTCAGATGGCACTAACTGAGTGTTTTAGCATGTTTAGGCCATGCAAATTTAATTCCTTGGTTCTCAGGCCTTTTTTCAAGAAATATGATGAGGGAAAAAGGCATTTTTTTTCTTTTTTGTTGCCCCAAAACATGATGAGGCAGCTTTTTTTTACATTGTACAAAACCTTAATAATTCTGATGAGGGAGGTGATTTTTTTTTATTTTATTGATTTAGCAAAAAAAAAGGGTCAATGAGGCAACCTTGGAATAGATGAGGGAGGGCCTGAGAACCAAGAAATTAATTTTTATGGCCTTAGTTGACAGAATTAAATTGCAATTTCCTTGTCTACTATTTGAAAAATAAATGCATTAACAAAGGTATTTATACATGAATTTTTTTTGTTTATTAAATATTCAATCAATCTTTGAACTAAAAAAAATTTCATGAAAATGATATCATTCTAAATATTAAAGCTGTATGATCCCCAAGTGAGTTTATCTTTACCCATGGAAATTATGATGAAGGCCAGTTTATCATATGTTAGAATGACCAATAATATCCTCTCCACTTATCCTGTCTTTTGTGTCTGACATGTAAACTGAATAAAGACATTTTTTGATCATTCAAAGAATGCTTGTAGTCTAAAAATTGTGCCTAGGCCTTTACTAATTTCAATTTTGCATAGGACATTCATAGTTCACATGAATGTTTATTATGTCTTGATGATGTGGCTTGATCTTGGCAAAGATCATATTGGTCAAATTTAACTTCAATTTCAAGGTCAATCTCTGCCCTTGACATATCTTATAATTGAGAAACATTGACAGCTCACACTGTACACATACTAGATTGCATATGACCATAATGTATATAATGACATTTATTCAAGCACATTGGGCAAGTTCAAGGACTCAGATAGGGTTTTCTAAGGGAGAAAAACTTTCTAATGGACAGAGAGAGAAAAGCATACTTCACACATCTTGTTTCCATGGTTACTTGACAACTCTTCTGTGAAATGGTCTAATTTCAATAAAATTTCTACAAGTCTAGGTCCTAATTCTCTTACTACACTACTTGAAATCCAACCAATGGAGCTGCAACTTTAATCCAAAACTTTTGATTTTCTATAGGATCTCTTGAAGAAATAAAGCTTACATGTACTTTAACAATTTTGTATGTTTAGAAAGCCAGACAGTGCTGGGTTATTTTTTCTTTGACTCCATTTTTATGTCTCCCTGTATCCTAAGCAATCTTCTGAGACGGAGCGTCTAGGAGAATTCCATTCCAAGATGGAGAGAGATACCGGGCTGATGTAAGGCTAGTGTAATTGTCTCACTCCGGTGATGTTGATTTTATCAGCGAGTTGTTTTTATTCTTCTCAATCAATTGTCGATGTTTGTTACAGTAGAGGATCTAATCTTAAACATCAATGTGTGAATCTTCCTGTCAGAAAAAGACCACAAATATGGAAAATGATTTCTTTTGCATCAAAAATGGCTCTTTTCTTTAAAGACATTCTTTGTCCTTTTGAATAGTGGATTAGCATTTGGGATGTTCTTTATATTCAGAAGGTCTTAATTCACAGCTATGAGGAAATTCGACTTGCAGATAATGTTTTAACAATGTGTAACAAATGTTGGCTTTTAGTCTTGGTAATGTTGGACTTTTAGACTGCAGACTTAGGGACTAAGGGACTATATATCATGTCCATAAAATATGCATCCAATTTTTGAAGATTTTAATGTACTTTAAAAGATCAACTTATTTAAAAATTGTTATGAGTTCATAATTGTAGATGTTTAAATAAATGATTTGACATATAGGAATTAACAATTTAAGATCTTTTAATCAAATTGATAAACAAAATTTTCTTCCAACATGACCCAAGTTGTGATGGGAACATGCAAATAGATCCTGGATTTTAGTTGACTGAGGGATTGATGTGCAAAGATTGAAATTCAAATGAATACATTAAACATCTTAGACAATACTTTGATGCATTTCAAATTGTGTCAATTACTCGAGTTCTAGATTTAGATTTCTGCATCAAAGGGAAGCTCATTCTGTGGCATAAAACTACCTTGGAACTGGAACTCTTCAGTGTGCTATGTGTAGAACTTCATTAAGACCTAGCTGCTACATCTGATGTTAATGTTATATCATTTGGGTTCAGGAGAGAGAAATGCAATCACAGTCTGAAAATTATTTAGATGCTATTGTGAAAAATTATTATTTATCTAAGAAAATTGAAAATGCAATAAGAGAAAATCAAGTAAAACTTAAAAGAAAACAAATGCTTTCAATAAATGAATTTTAATAACCAGATTTTAAATGAATTCACATACATAAATTAACAATTAATTTTAATAATACTATACAGTGGTAGATATATGAATAAACACACAAAGTATAAATATAATGGCATGATACCCCCATGGCAACCAAGGATGAAAGTTACACATACTTGGGACCCGAATTTCAACTTCTGAATAAATGTTACAATGATAATTACACCAAAAGAAATTGATAAACAAGACATACAGTGTTTAATAATTACAGTTTGTGTAATTACCATGGTAACTTGTGTAACTTTCATCAGTTGCCATAGCTACAGAGCAAAGCTAGTAAACTGAGCCAGAGATGAAAATTCAGTGATGATGTTTAATAACTTAAACCATTGACAAGTAGAATTTTGTTTGTTAACCAAACAATTACTTTGACAAGTTCCAGTGAAGGAAAACCCTCTTTTTTGATTTGATGAGAATATTAAAAGCTGTACAAGAATATTTTGAAAAAACAGGTCTGTTAAAAACAGACTTTTCCATATTTATGCAATGAAAAACCTTTGTTGCCACAAAAGCTTTGTTAAGATATTTTTTCTATAACACATTAAACTTGCGTCACTTCAGTCTTGACAGAGCTATAGTGGTTAGTATGAATCCCGTTCTTTAAAGTAATACTTCCGTTGTTAAAGTTTCTGACAAATGAACACAAAAACAGGTTCTTAAACGTGTCCCTAAATTGCTGACTCATGATGCAATACAGCAGGAAGTTTATGGCACTGTTGATGAGAACTAGAAGGTCCATCACATCCCCAAGGTTGGAGTACACCTGGTTAAAGAACGTGTCATTGAGGCCACTTATTCCGGCCAGAATTCCCTGGGGAAACTCCGTCACCACAAAAAACAGGACCACCATCACCAGCATCATGGTGGTGCGGTTGTGTTCCGCGGACATTTCCTCGTTGTGGCGGCTGTTGGATTGAGACAACAGACGTTTACGCCGTACGCTGGCCTGGTGCATGGTCATGATTATCAATGTACTTAGAATGGTCAGTAAGATACACGGGGCTATTTTGATAATCACTCCATAGATCCAGAAAGTAATTGGCTGATACAGTGGATTCTGCTGAATGAATTCACTTTTTTCTATCCAGTAGCCTTTCCAGTTTGCAGTTGCGTTGTTTGTTCGGTTGCTAGCCTCCGTGTAGAAATCTTGGAGGTCTTTGACTTGATACAGGAAGTAATTTGGGACACAGACCAGGATGGACACCACCACGATGATGAAGATGGTTAATTTAGCTCGATCCAGGCTACACCACTGGTTCGCCACCACATGGTGACAAACAAAGATGTATCTGGATAAGGAAAACATAATTCAATTAGTGCTGGCAAAAATGGTTAATTGTTGCATTTTTGCTTAGTTTTTTGACATATAAAATAAAATTTATTAGATTGTGTAATTGTTCCTTTTTTTCCATGTTTGCTCAATTTTTTTTTTTGACATTTGAAATTAAATTTATTACATTCAAATGAATGTAGCACCTCAGTGCGTAAGCTTAATGAATTTCAGAAATATTTATCAAGTGAACTTTTTATCTTTTTCATCCCTATTGGTAATTGCAAATACTTTAGCATCATATACTGTAAATGCAGTAACATGTTAGGGCTGAACGTTCCTTTTTGCACATATACAAGGAGTGGAAAAATTGAACTGAATAAATGAGTAACTAATCGTTTATTAATTTTATTAACATTAATCTTTAATAAGAATGAGAAAGTCATGGACGTAGGGCATCTTTTCATCTCTTAATTATTCATCTTTCCACATTGTTCAACTTTCCACATTAACCATTTTTACTATAAGCATTTTTTTTAAATTCCGTTGTAAAATAGCAAGCACATTGCACAATTCAGTCATTCCCCTCCCCCTAAATCCAGACAACTCATATCTTGAAATTCTTCTGAATTCAAGGAGCAGTCCAAAAGATGGAATTAAAGAAATCTAAGAAGCTGTTCAAGTACGTTCAAGCGACTAAGAGTCTTTAACCAAAAGGTCATATTTTATTTTACAGTGGAACAGATGGTAGAGACATCTTTTAATGTTGAAAACAGTTAGTTGATCTTGGATCTCAGATCACAAAATAGTGCCATAAATAGATATTGTTTTTATTAATGTATAGGAATAGCTAGTGGCTCAAAATTATTAATTAACCTAGCATTATTAATGAATGGGTATTTGAATTTGCCTACTGAGTTTAGTACGGATGGGTTATAAAGGATTTGCTTTGTAAGTAAAACGTCAATCAGAATTGATGAAGATCGATATTTTAAAATTGTTCAGTCCATCCAGATGTTTGCATTTATAGTAGTGTAGTGCAATCTGCATAATAAACATGTATTTTCCCATAAAAATCAGCACTTTGATTTAACCTAGTATGAAATATGAAGATATAAATAATCAGTGATCATGCTCAAAATTCCATTGCAAACGTTGAGCTCAAAAACATCAGTGATGGGATAAGGTGCAATAGAGGAGTAAGCATCCCCTTGTTGAAATATTTTTTGTAGTTTTATGTGAAAGTTTACTTGACACTGTGTGACAAAAATTGTTTTTGATACATAATTTATTGAATTCTCCTGTTCAATGATTTTTTAAATGAACTTTAAAAAAAAAAGAATCATTATTAATTTACCTGAAAACGGCCAAAGAGACAGTCAACCACATTGCCATATTGTGAAACGTAATAACTGCCAAATTGTTGACAACAACGAAGTACATCCATCCTTTACTGTGTTCATAGGAGTCTAGTGGCTGAGTTATAATGTAGAAATACACTGCATACACAAAGTAAATTGACATGGTTGCCATGTCTGTGATGGCCAGCGCCGTAAGGATACAGTTTGTGGGCGTCACCATGTGTCGCCGCGTCAGGACGATGATATTTACGATGTTAGACATGACTCCAAAAATACAGATAATGGAACTGATGTAGCCATGGTATTTCATGTAGTTTCTATTGAACTGTAAGATGTTGGTGATTTCTGTTGTTGTAGAAGGGGTAGATAACCCCAGTGTCATAAGATCTGACGTATTCATTATGTCATGTAGCATTCCCTTCCAAAAAGTTTAGTTAAGCTGACATTAATTTCACTGTCAGTCACACTAGTGTAAAGAAAGAAGAATTCCACCACTGCTACAGCAGTTAGTTGTTATTCTGAATGACTTTTTCTTTCTGGTCTGTGAAGTTATTTTCCTAACCCTCTGGTGTTTGTTTCTTAGAAGTTATTATTATATGTCGCAGGTGTTAATTAAATCTATAAATACAACTCATTAGTTAGTTTTTAAATTCCGTACAATCTGTCCACTTACGAGTTGTAAATTCAAGACAATCTGAAAATTCCAAAAACAGTGATTTCTCTTTGTCATCAATTCCTTCTACAAATAGTTCTGGGGTGATGATCAATTGTCTTCAGTTCAATAAAAGGTCAAAAAAAGTCTTTTAATTATCACCAGAAGCTCTGTTTTCTTCTTTCTCTTTTTTTTATGCAGCACTTCGGGGGGCCAATTTTTGATGGACTTTACAAGTCTTAACAATACCGAGTGTTTGTAATGATTTGGCCAGGCACCTAGAACATGTCACGTTTACCAGGGGTATGATTGAAGGCGGAAATTATTCAGAAATGTGATAGGGAGTTGGGGAATAATTCCGCAGGGCTTGTTGGTCATAATTTGTATACTTGGGAATTGGCTACCAGGAAAGGTCAGGTTTCACGTCAATTTCCTCCACTAATCTTAGTCGAATTTCTCTGAGGTAATCACATGGTTTTGAAGCAGCCAATCACAGCACAGAATGTCCTCTCTCCTCACAAGTTCTCTATTATTTATCTCGGGTAACAACTCAACCTGTAAGAAAAAAAAACAATATGGAATGAGAATAATTTGACTTCTTTATTTTCAGTCTGATTATATGTTGAACCGATATATATCATCATCCATATACATTTATATATACAATATACAAATATCTAGCCATTATACAGTGAGCAGATTCAAGGGCGATGGACACAAATTAGCTTCAAGGAATAAACAATTCTGTTTTCTTATTGGATGTGATAATTGTCAAGTATGAAACAACAGAGACTCTGTATATAACTCCAGACAGACCTACAAATAATGTAGCATATAAGCCTATATTATCTTATGAAACTTATGATGCGTGTTTTTGTAAAGAAAATTATAGTTTAGAACAATTGTCTAACTCCTAATTTTTTTCTTACTAGTAATTGTTCATCAAGAGGTCTTAAGAATAGGGTATTCATATTTTTCTCTCAAATTATCTCTTATTACCATTATGTAAATTGTTCTGTCACTATTTGTTGCCTTTGCATAAAAACGTAAAAGCATCAACTATCTTTTTTGGACCCACTCGTATAAAAATCAAAAGACACCATAAAAAGACACCATCAGGTGATTGGAGACTTTTTACAGAAGAAATCAATAAAATTGTAACATTTTTTCCACATTAAGTTGATCTGTATAATGAGAATTAAAGCTTGGTTGACAGCCATAGCATTAGTGATTCCCATACGATAAATTCCAGCTCTCAACCTGAAATCCAACAGATGAATAACAAAAATGTTTACTTATAGGTACAGTGTATATTTTTTCCCCTTCACATTAAAATTCAGACAATTTATATTTTTTTAAATTTTGTTATTTGATTTATGAATTTATGTATAATAGATTATATGATAATCATGATAGAGTCACAAGTGAGCTAGTTTGTACAATATTTGAACAGTTCATTGTAGCTTATTGGTCAAGGTTGAAAAAACTCTAAATTTCAAGGCACATTTGTAGTGCACTGCTTTACATGGAGGTATAGATTAATGAAACATTCATATATCAAATACATCTCATCTAGTTTGAAAAAGAGAAAAGGGTATTTTTTCTCATCCATGGCACCCGATCCCATCTCTTATTTTTATAGAGGTCTGGGTTTGCTAGTTAGATCTCTGCTCTAAATTAATATTTACTGCTTCATTAGACTTCGGAGTTTGATTACATGTACTCTTTGTTATCCTCATATTTCATGATAGACGATAATTGCTTTTTAAAGAATAATCTTTAAAACTGCAAGTATTCAGTATAAAGAATTTGGATAATCATGAATTAAAAACCATGCACTGTGAATAATTCTAGCCAACATCAAAAATTGTGAAATTTAAACCCATGAAATTAAAGATGATTACATGCAGTTATAGAAAATATTTGACTGGAATGAAGGAGCATTTTAAGTCTTTGCTCATTCAATGACAGATGTTGGCAAATTTGAAAAGAGACTTTGAGTGTTACCATAGAAACATAATGTAGTATCAATTGATACAAAAAATTCAAATGATCATATAAACTCTGTATCCTACAATTAGTTTATCATAGAGTTATCTGAAGTTTGACAAATGCCATAGTTTATCGTAATAAAATGACTGCCCGGTAGCGATGACAGTTGAAGATATTAATACATAGGGATGGTTCTATGACAAGAACTCATTGGAGGTGACATTGGAATAGGCTCTGTACTCTAAGTACGTGATATCTGTACAGGCTTTCAGTGGTAGCTTCATTAAGTAAAGTAAAAATGATGGATTCGTCTGATATATATATATCTGCTGGCTTTTATGGCATGAATGGTCTTGATGATTGTTTATGGAAACCATTTTGGTATAGAATTATTAAGACCAATATTGCATTCTAGGGTTTTACTTGAAAACATGCTCTGTTTGAATGAGGCTTCTTTAATTTGTCACAGTGGCGACAATCTGTTGTTTGCCTAGGTGAAACATGACAGTTTTATAGCTCATTTTTCATCATAGCATATCATATTCTTAGTGATCATATTGGTATATCATTTCATTACATATTGTAATATATTTTTATATTTCATTTTTTCAAGAAAGACCTTGAAGTTGTGGTTTCTGGAAGAAAAGTTTATCTATAATTTGCTTAATTTCTTATTTGAATCAGAGATTTATTCCTAATACAAGTTGAAAGCATCCATGGTTATGTACTTGCAGGCATGAATACCCTCCCTCCCCAAACACACACATGCAAGCCCACCCCCCTCCCCCTAAACTTAACACACACACAAATCCCATTCTAACAATGTCTAATAGCAGGTTGTTGGTCTATTCATGCATTGTGCTAGACTTCATATAGAACATAGTTTATGGACTGGATCATAAAAGTAATGATGTTAAAAAATCCTCCCCGCTGACTCTACAGAACTAGTGTGCCCTTCATCTTGTGAAATGAGCCTTTATTTATAGGTTTCCTTAATCCAATTGTAGCAATACCAGTGACATAATTTTATCAGGTCCTAATTAGATTGATGAAGATGGCTATAATCAGATTTATGTTCCTGGAATAATTTTGTTAGGTGTGGAAACCTCTCCAATAGATGACTTATACAAGGTAGACTGTCTGGTGACGAAGGAGGCAAATTAATACAACCATCAAGATGTCGTTTGATGTCATCATTTTTTTGCATCAATTGATGACGGTTCATCATCAAAGAGATACTTTCAGAAAATAATTAAGATTAGTTAAAGAGGCCGACTTAGGGTTTCTATTGCACAATACTTCTGGCATCATTGTAAAATGAAGTGTATTTGCCGTTTTATAAAGACTTTTTTCACATAATAACTAAAATTGAACAAAATTAAGAAATCACAAGTTGAAAAACATAATTACAAATTTATATAATTGATTTTTAAAACGATTTTTTAAGTGATGGGTACCTGTATTTTGAGACAGTCCCTGAAAAATACCTGGCTGGTAGATTTTGCCAAAACTTGGCATGTACACTGAAGTCAATGTAAGTTACATATGGTATAAAAATAAAGAGTTTCTCTATCTAGTTTTTACACAATAAAACCCCAGTCGGTTCCCTTAAAGCAGTGAATACCAAATCAATTTCAAAGTAACTTTGTAGACCTTTAATTTGTACGTGCAATAGAAACATGGTTGACACCAGATTTTGGTGGTCTTGGAAGACTAGTGATAAAAAAAAACCAGAGAAGGAGTAAGCAGTGATTATTTTATGCATTTATATAAAGCAATATGAAGAAATTGCATTTAATTTATAAAAGGGATCAGTTTTTATAGTTTCTTCGTAGGCCAGGGACATATTAAACGTCATTTGGAAACATGTGGGATAGCTCGGTCATGCTTGCTATACAAAAATTATTCCATGCATATGAACTATGAATCTTTTTTATTTTTGTTATAAAAATTGCAGATCTAAAATTTGCAGCCCTGCATTGGTAGGTAGTGGCTACTCAATATGAGCGAGAAATTCTTGAACGAACATAACAAACAAACATTTATGGATCAAATAACTTTTTTTTTTAGAGTAATCACAGAGAAACTCTTGGAATCTAAATATAGAAGGATATAAACTGCATTATGACTAAGGTAAATGAGATTGGAAGGAATAAAACTGATTGAACAATATTAGACAGTTTGAAAAAAGCAACACTTCTCTGCATAAGAGAAAGAATTAAACTTTGTCAAACTCTTATTTTTTGCATACAAGTCGTTTTGACAAAGGCTTTAGGACTGAAGAAAGATACATGTTTGCATCTCAAAGTATTGTTTTTATGTTTATCAAATCCATGATTCTATAATTTAGAACAGCTTATTTGAAGCAGTTTTTTTTCTGTAATTCCTGCAGTCAACAGTTTCTGCTATTGACAATCAAAACTTGTTTTTTTCCTCAACCTATTACTAAGAGTCAGAAAAAAATTTCATTACCTCAAAGCTTCATTTCATGTATAGTAATGCAGATCTGCAGACAATAATTTCAGACATAAAAAAATCCTTTGTTATTTCTGGTAGAAATGGTCTGAATGACAATAACAGATATTTTGAAGTTAAAGTGGATTTACATGGAAATTAATACAGCAGCTAGTAGATCCGGCTATACCATTGATGCTGCCCTGTGGAGATATAAAAAGTTGGCTTTCAGAATGGAATTGTGTTGCTCTCTAGGTTTTTGAAAAAAAGATTAATACTTACAGAACTTTTTCACCCACTGTTTTTCCCCCTTTAATTTTATTCTTTTTTATTGCAGCTATATTTTATAATATCTAATCCACAATAATACTCACAAGGAAGACTATAAGAATGATAAAATTGACCAGTTCTCCCACTTGCAGAATTTGTTCTCTTGAAGACCTGTTTGTAATGCAATATTCCTAGAAATGACTTATCATGAAGTGACAGGAAATATTTCCAATATATAGTCCATAATCAGCAGCCATGAAGAGAAAATGTGGTCTTATCTCCGCTATCGGATGCTTGACCCTCATCAGATCAGAAGTTCACAAACGGACCAGAAGAAAATGTCAACAAATGGTTCCGGATAAAGTTTGTTCAGCTCGGGGCTCTGATGACCCACTTCACACTACTGGTCACATTGACGCTGGTCATAATCAAGAAATACAACATGTATTATTGGCCCCTATTATTTCTTCTTTGTCAGCAACTCACAAGGGATGTAAATATTGGACTTTATTGACCACCCTAGCTCCGGTTGTCAAATATTGATAGAAAACCTATTACAATTATGTGCAAGCACTGTATCTTTCCGAGTTTCAAAGAACTGTATATTTGCTCAATGTTGTTTGAAGAAAGAGCAAATTTGAAGATGTGGATAGATTTAAACTACTGGAAGGATATTGCTAAAGAGTTTGTTTTTGAACATATGGGGAGGAACTTAGAAGAGTATTAGAATCGTACGCTGACTAGTGGGTGAAGATTTAATTAAATGGTAGACAATCAATAGCACAATGATTATCAATACGCAGGTAATATCAGAATCAGGATCGCAGAGGCAAGCTAGA